GTCCCCACTCCTGATCGTCTTTAGGCAGAGAGGCAAAGCTCTCTGGGAAACACCCATTTATTATCCGTCATAAAGGTAAAATGTCAGCTTCATCAACATTTGTCATCTTATAACAAAAAATTCTACTAATAGTATGCCTTGTGGTAAATAAAAATCAAAGCAAGTCTCAGCTGCAGAAAGCATGGATATTAACATTAATCTTATTAGGAATTGTCGTATCTTCCTCACATCCAAAGTTCTGCCCTGTTTTGATTAAAACTACAAAAGAAACAAAGATCATGTTAATGATAATCTAAAAAAGGTTTATTTTATTTAGGGTTATTGAATTAATTTTACTTATGGGGAATTAACATGACTCACAAACAGTAACAGCTGTAACCACTTTATATTCAACATGAACTCACTGGATTGACCTACACAACAATTATATAAATTTGAATAACATCTTCATCAGAAGGATTCTCAGTAACGCAAAATGAAAATTTAAAAACCCAAATGTACATATGTAAAACCATTCCTTGCGTAGGACTATGAGAAATAATGGAAGACATTTAAAAACAATTATGACATATTATTCAAACTTTTTTCAAATGAAATTATTTGCCAAATTGCATTGGTCTTTTTGGCTGTGCTATGTTGTATTTCTACCTTTTTACCTAATAAAACATCACATCTGTGATCTTTGATCATAACAATAATATTTTCAATATTCCAAACATTCATATTTCTTCAAACATAATCATCTGATGATTTGTCACTGAAACTGTTTATATTGGACAGGCACATATTACTAACAACATGACATACTGTAAGTATATGTTTTACTTCTAAAGCCAAAATAAAGCGAAAGCAAAGCCACATTTGTTTAGTCCCACCATCAAAACAAATCTCAATAAAATCTTTACCATATTTAACATAATTTAATTCAGTCTGTTGCAACAGTAAGCATACAATCATCAGACAGAGTTCTCTAAATGTGTTAATTTTTCATTTCAAAGTTTTTTTTCTGGTAAAATTTGAACAATTTGTCTAATAGTACAGATCGCTACAATTATATTTAAGTCACTTTGAAAGGAGATGAACAGTCACACAGTAATTAAGCAATAAGTATATAATCTAAAAAAATCAATGAATATTGCTTTGCAGTTTTTTGATATGTTCTAAAATGTTCAGAAAATCATGTTTGATACAATTAGTATAGTTCTGTAAATAACTTCATCAAAAACCACTGTCAGCTCTGCTTTTTGAAAAACAATCCAAACTAAGAGCATTCTTTGCAACCTCCTGCCTCTGTGAGGAGCATCTTTAGTCCGCTTTATGATACTCGTTTCCTGGAGCTAGTTCGACCGAGACTGGCAGTGCTGGAGCGGCGGGAAAGGATGGGAGTAGAAGCAGTGGGAGACGTCTCGTTGGAACACCCGTGTTGGAGTAAAATATCGATGCAACCTTTGCTCCCTATTTTCTTGGCCATCATCATAGCTGTTTGGCCTTGGCTGTCTTTTGCTTTCACATCAATTCCATACTGTGAAGAAGAATGAATATGAGAAAAAGAGACATTTAAATCTACATTTGAACATTGTGATTGCATAGTGAAAGCAGCACTTGTTTACACGCAGAACTGATATTCAACATATTTAAGTGTGTATCAGCTTTTCCATCCCTTTTTCTGTGATATCCAAACATTTTGGAATACAAGTTATACATAATCAGCAGGCTGTCGGGCGCTGATTGACCAGTGACCCACATGATTATATAACAACTCCATCAGGTAAACCTTGCCTACTTTAAAAATGTGGCACCGAGAAAGGTCCATTTTCAATATTTCTGTGATCATAGACGTTGTAAATGTTTGATACGTTTGATCCTATGTTCAACACATAGGTTTTAATGGTTTATTGCTACCGCAATGTCTGTTGTGTCCAGGATATGTTCTTGAGCATTTGTCACTGTTTCAGTATGTATTTGTCTAGTGGTGTGAGTTTGCCCTTTTTAATGCATTTCAACTTTAAAGACATCTTTTTCATGGATTTCATGTAAAGAATGTACAAAAGTCCATCCAAAATGTGGCAACAAGGAAGGTCCAATTTCAATATTTCTGTGATCATAAACATTGTAAACGTTTGATACGCGAACCAACATTGCGGTTCAACACATAGGTTTTGATGGTTTATGGCTACTGCGATGTTTTTGATTTTTGTCTGTTGTGTTTAGGGAATATTCTTGAGCATTTGTCACTGTTTCTGTATGTATTTATCTAGTGGTGTGAGTTTGCCCTTTTTTATGCATTTCAACTTAAAAGACATCTTTTTCATGGATTTCATGTAAAGAATGTACAAAAGTCCATCCAAATTGGTGAGGTAAAGTATACAAGAACGGTTTGAAAATTCTGTTAAATTAATTTACCAAAACGTGGTGCTTTCCTATGTGCACTGTAGTCCAGTCATATCTAACAATTGAGATACTCATTATCCATCTATCCATTTTCTAAACCGCTCATTCCCAAATAGGGTCAGAGCCTATCCCAGTATTCAATGGGCGAGAGGCAAGGTATACACCATCGCAGAGCCGCGCAAACACGAACCACAATGCACACTCACATTGACTCCGAAGGGCAATTTGGAATGTCCAATCAACTTAACATGCATTTTTTTGGTCGGTGGGAGGAAGCTGGAGTACCCAGAGACAACCCACGCGGACACAGGGAGAACATTCAACATCCACACAGAATGGTTTCTGTTTTCCCCTCAAACCATTTGATGGTATTTTATTAGTATGCTCAGGGCCATTGCCTCGCTGAGTGTCAACCTCCAGTTTCCAGTATCTCCAAGACATTATCTTCCGCGATTAACTATGGGGATGCAGCGCATTGCTTCCCCAGTTGTTTCTGGCTGTATGAAAAATATTTCGAATGACACAATTGCTGAACTTAAAGAATAAAACTCACCCAAACAAGTAGCTGAGTCATGACAACATCACCAAGCTGACAAGCAGCGTGCAGAGCTGTGCGCTGCAGTGAGGATGATCCAGCAGGTTGAGTGTTGATTTTTTCCTTGGTGCTGTGGGCCAGAAGAAGCAGGAGCTGGGACAGATTTCTATCTGTCACTGCTGCCAACAACCACTCAGACATACTCTCTTTTGAAATCTGGGCCCCTGAAGCAAGTTGAAGTGGTGCCACAAATGCACGTTGTTCATATTTAGCACGAATCCAGGATTCTCTTTCCTCTCTAATGAAAAAAATAAATAGAAAAAAGCCAACCATGTGTCAGAATACCCACACAAATAAAGAGGTACTGGCATTTCAAAATATTAGACATCATTATACAGATTTTTCAGTTTCTTATACATAATTAATTTGGACTCCACCAAGTGTAGGAAAACATTAGACAGTATTAGTAAATGCTGCACAATGTTACCAAATATATATTATATGATACACTGATATTATCAACTTGAATAATATATTTCGACCATAAGAAATATATTAGTGCTCCATTTTGTGATGAAGGCTGTTAAATATGAGTAAATAAAAAAAACAACTCTTAAGTCAGTGGTCATTTAGCCAAATGGCTTAAGCGGGCAGCAAATATGTGTGCCCCATCATGAGTGGCCTGGGTTTGAATTTAGCTTATACCCACTGTCCTATCAAGTCATTGTCATAACGGCAACTATAATCGGAGAAAAAAATAAATGAGGTCAAACTTTGTTTTTTCCAAAGTCCCAGGGTTAGGGTCCCATCAATATCAAATGATGGGACTTAGAGAAATTAAGTTTGTCCTTTAAAATAAAAAACATTGCAATTGAGCAATGAGTTGTAACCCTAAGCAACAATTTAGCAAAAAACTTAATGCATTTATAAAATCATAGAACACGATCTCATAAATTAGTGTCTCCAAATCCACAACACCTTAAAATAGGTGCTGTTTGATAGAGGATTAAACACACTTATCGCTAAATTGTATAAATGTAGTTTTGTTGACCCAACCGTGTTGCACTAGGTGTCGGTTTGGTTTGGCCTTTGGTACAGCTCTCCCAAATGCTGTTGGCCATGTGATTTCCAATGGCTGCCAGGACTTGTGTGAGCTCTCCAGGCCAGTCATCCAGGTCCAGCGAGCGAACACGAGAAAGATGAGTCCCCAGATTCCGGTGGATCCCTGAGCACTCAATACAAATCAATGCACCCAGGTTAAGACTAGCCCAGGTGGGATCTGCAGGACAAAAGAGTAAAAAGGGTTACAGCATGAGATGCTATAAAGAACCTAAAAGGGAAAAAGAAAATAAACAAAGAGCAAATTATGACGTTGATGAAAATTGAGTGTTTAACCAAAATTGATTGTTCATTAGAAATGTTAACAAGGAAAGAAGTAGACATTTGTAAACCTACTTGGTGCCTCACAATCCACACAAAGACTGTTGCCCTTGGTATTACGAATGGCCTGCAGTGCCATGGCCTCACTGTGACTGCTTCTCCTTGCCTGAATATACACAAATGTTATTCATTTATATCAGCTATTAAATCAGATCAGCAGCAGAACATAGAAACCTGGGAGAGAACATATGGATAACTAGGGAACAGGTTCCCTCATGCAATTGACATGTTTTTATGAATATATGTGTTCAATCGACCATTCAGATTGTGATATTCAAATATCCCAATGTAAATGTAATATTTGTTTGCCATAAAAAGAAAATCAGAAGTCTAATATGTATCAGTCAGTAATATTTCACTATCTTTCACAAACTGACAGCCCAATAAACAGTGGCAATGAGGGATCTAGTGTTTTGCCCAAGGACACTTTGAAGCATAGATTCTAGGAATTTAAATACTGAGCCCTACTTTGTCCTCTGGGCAACCAAATCTATGTCAGAGATGTTAATGATGCTATCAGAACTAGTCATATGTTTTCCTAGTCACTTAGTCACGTTTGCTCGTGCATGCTTTGGTAGAAAGAAAATTGGACAGAACTTGCAACAGTACACTAAGTTTTAGTTTACAAGCTCATCAGCCCATTCTGTGTCTTAAATTATTTGCTCAGTTTTGCCATTTTATGAAAGACCAAACAGTAAGACATTTCTGTGATGATGTTGAAATTTTGTCTTTTAGACTTTAAGTTTAGCAATTGTTGCTCATCGCAAGTGACTAATTAAGGAGAATTGAATTTGGAGTTGCAGTTTAAGTATCAATTAGACAATTATTTTCCACTACTGTAAGCATTCAAGCTCATCAAATTGATTTCGGAAATAGATTGTTTGCATAAATTATATTAAATAGTTTTTATTGTCTAGAATGCACGCAGAGATAAAAGTCTTTCAAAAGAAAATTCCAAAAAGAATTAAATTACTAAAGATGGAGGAGCAACACACTATCATTAAATAGATTATGTACTAATACTTATGGTTATTGTTTTTTATTACAAAAAAAAGACAGAACTGTCTAACTGTGTTGACATTTTTACTTATATCTATCTATACAGATATAGATATACATTTATGTCTATGTCTATATCTATCTATACATCAAGTAAGATACCCCACTCAATTATGTGACCAAGGAAAGAGTATCATCCTGAGACCACATATTTTTCTCAGGCAGCTGAAACCCAGGGAAGGTGTACATGAAGAGGAGGATCCATCATAAAAAAACAGATGGAATAAGCAGCCGATATCAAGAAGTGATACCAATTTCTAGAAAGGGCTGGTCTACAGGACAACAAGAATGTACTGTTCATGGTATACATATTACATATTACAGGCCCTGAGCACAATTCAATAGAGGTTAAGGTTACATATGAAGTCCAGCACACAATAGTTGGGTGTAAGATGAAGGCGGATATGACCTGATTCATGATACAAGCTGAGCGTTGTCTAAGAAGGCATGTCCAAGAAATTATGCAAAGATTTGATTAATAATCCATCCAATAATCCTTATTAAACTCCCAACAATTGCTTTCTAGAAATAAAAGATTCCTGCAGATAGTTGATTCTACACATTCCAATAGGAGCCCTTAATTTGCATTGCTTTTATTCATGCAAACACTTTGGGCCATATTATAGCAATGCATGAACAATAAGGATGGAATAGTATCATCACAAAACACTGGACAATATTTGAGCAGTTGAGGTAAAACAAGCAAAATTGTCAGACTGTTCAAACTGATTTTATAGTATTTCAGAAAAATATTTTCTTATTTACCTTATTTCTGCCACTCTCACATGACTGGAGGCTTGCAAGGATCTGGCTCTCTATAGCTGACACCCATGAGTCCCTTTCATCCTGGTTTTGAGCCTCAAAGTGCCATGTCTGCCCAGTAAATGAAACTATAATAAAGTCTGCATTCTCTTCCTCTACATGGTAAAAGAAAAACAGAAGACATGGTTAATAAACTCTATTTACATAACCACTGTTTTGGTCCAGTAGACTCTTCAAGTGTATTCACACACATTCACACATTGATGGATGCATGGGAATCAACATGGGTTTAAATGTCTTGACCAGAGACATTAAACGGTGTACTCAAATTAAGCCTGGGATCAAACCCATGAGGTCCCGGTCCTCCTTTGGTGTATTTTGCATTTCTTTATGTGACAGTTATGTTTGATTGGAGAAAGATGTGACTGAAAAGTAACACTTGCTCTCTTCTATAAATCAGCAATGCTTGGTTTTTGAGATCTGAAAATAAAAAACAACTTACAAAGTCCCTCTCTTCATTAATCTGTATGATTTAAAATACATGATTTTCCAAAATAATTTGGAGTTTGACTGCAGATGAGTTTTTCACTAATCCTCAGTCCATTGTAAAAGGGCTTTTGGATCATGTTTTGGATCAACTTTTATTCATAATAAAGCTTTAACATGGAATTGTGGATAACATGTCATTGCAACATGTGATCTGGGGATGCCAGAGACTAAACCCATAACAGACAGAGACAAATTACAGCCAGAAAATAAGATATACTTCAAAAACAGCTAAGATCTGCACAATCACAGCATATTTATGATTGACAATCTGTTGAGCATTCAATTAATGAAGGATGCGGAAAAAAAGCAAAGCAGTGTAATGGAAAGTGGTATAAGAAGCACCTTAGTGTTATTGAAAAGAGAAATGTCAAGCTGTCAATTCATGCTTGTAATGTAGATTATAATTATCAGGCACACACAAAAAAAACAAATATAGAATAAAAAATGTATGTTAATAAAAGCACATACTGAGTTAGCAACTCCACATGTTACCTGTCTTATTAATGTTTCTTAAGCTACCAAAGCTCTTTAATTTCCACATTTTGCGTTTAGCTGCTGAAGAAGAGATAGGCAAGGGACAGGAAAAAAGAGTGGCAGTGAGACACAGAAAAAGGCTTTTCGGAAATCATCAGGAAAACAGATTTTTACTCAACACTTTACCAAGCACACTATATCTGTCTGGAAGAGACATAGTATAGGACGAAGAGAATGTGCACTTAAATAAGTTCTTTCTTGACACGAGACGACAGAAAAAATTTCTTACCATTCTCTACAATTTTTTTCATTTTTAGAGCACACATGGAAAATTCTACTTTTATGACATACCTATAAGTAAGTACTTTATTCTCAAAATAACATTACCCTCAGCTTGCCCAGCAGCTGCATCTCCTTTCTGGTTCATGCTTTTCTTTCTTCTGTTTTTCTTCCTGTCACTCATGGGGGATGATTGTGTTGGATCTTTTCCAACAAAAGAACTGGCAGTCCCTTCAAGGCCATCTGAGGCAAAAAATTAGGCATGGAAATACTGTTTGCGATTTACAGGAAGTTTTTGATACAATTACCCACCAATACTTTGCGCTTTGGCAGACAGTGAGGAAGGGCAACGCTGCAGTCCCCGCTCCCTTCCTTGAGGAGACAAACCTCCAGACTGGTCATCAACCAAGGACACAGTGGTTGGGCACAGCTGAGGAACTGATGACCAAAACAGGGATTAAAAAACAGAAATAAGTGTTTCTATCTATCTATCTATCTATCTATCTATCTATCTATCTATCTATCT